TTTATCACCCAACCTTCGGATGCATCGTTTCAGCCACCTTCCCTTCTTCAGTATTAGCATGTCTAAAATTAAAAACTCCGGAAAGGCCTCGTCCCCTGGCTAGCTGCTCAAGCTCTTCAAGTTTCTGCTTAAGAAGCTCCACCTCTTTCAACAACTCTTCATCCCGCTGCCTCATTCCCTGAAAACCAAGATTTTTTCAGCCAACAGATTAACAAACAAATATGAGATCCCTTTTCTTAGATGCGTGAATAAGAATCCCAGATTTAATCACGCATCAAGCAATTAGTCTATAAAGCTTGTGAGTAAGACAACAGTCAAATGCCAATTCTTAGTCAGACTAGTCGCTAAGCTACGAAACACTCGACAACAAGATATAACGGTAAAATTCGCACAGAAAGTTCTTGCAACAGAACAACAAAACAGCAAATGATGTCTTCTTAACTGATATAACCTCCTCTCCAGCCACTTAGGTGCACCTGTCAATGCTTCAAAGTGATGACCATACCTACTGAACTTCACATAGAACTTTAAAGATAATGAAATGTCAAATAATAAAGTTCTATTTTAGACAATCATCTTGTAAACCCCAAAAATAGATTAAGTTACAAGAATGAAATTGACACATGCATAAGAATACTCAACTAGGGAGAGAGGTAAAACAAAGAACGATGTCCAACCTCCATTTCTTGCCTGCGAAGCTCCTCCTTTTTGGCTTCTGACCTAGAACTTCTTTGCACCTCAAAGATGAGAGCACCTACTCCAACCTAAGCACAAAAGCAGAAATATAAGTAGAAATAGAGGACAAAGAATTACACGCTCTAATTTTACAACCGTTGGGTCAGGCAACCCTCTCAAAAACAACATGCATGCAAAAATTGGGTTGGGTTATATGATGATCCCAACAAGGACATCTTAAAAAACTTGAAGCTATTATCAAATAATAGGTCAAATAAATGTACACGAGAGTATGAAAGGTTGGGGTGTCAAGTCCTTGCACTCAATGTGATCGAGGCAACGATGATTTTGGGAATTTTGTCAATGAGTAAATTGACTTCATATCACGCTTTCACCATACCTATGACAGATTTAAAAGTATTACGAGGGAAGAATAAGTTGTATTTTAATCATTTCATCTCATAATGTTATATATTTTCTTACGAGAAGCTCAACGAAGGCCTGAATGGATGTATTTAACTGGTTTAAAACAACTCAAGTAATAGCATCATGTGATTTCAGTTTTAAAAAATTGAGATACATGTATTGCAAAACCTCAAACTAGCTAACAAAGTATGGAAGTCTGCAATCAAACAGGTATCTAAATTGCAAAAGATTCAGTTTTTTTTTTTTTTTTTTTTTAACTTT